CTCTTCACCAGTCCTTCCTATAAAAGCAGAGCCGTTTCCCTCTGCCATGACCTGGCAGGGATGCGTTCTTTTGATCAGAATCCCTATGGATGCTGCAGCGGGGCTGTAGCAGTTTAGAGGAATTCCTTAGCAAAAGGGGCTCAGTGGGGCAAGCACAGTCCATGGCTCAGCTTTCAGCTCCCCAGGGATAGTTTCAGCACTCTGTGGACACAGAAAGAAGAGCCATAAGTGACCTGTGGTCCTTCTACCGCTGCAACCTGTGGTAGTGATTCTGCGCTCTCAATATATGATGGTGTGGTTGTAGACCTGTGCAGCTCCACCACCTCTTTTCCATCTCACATCCCACACCAGGACACTGCTCCTGCTGCTTCTTTCCTTGTACTAAGGTGGATTATTTTTGTTCAGTCAGATGTTAAGTCCTTTGTGCGGCCTTTTCACAAAGGCCACGTGTTCACTCATCCTGGTCTATATCTGAGGCTGTCCTCTTGCACAGCGCAGTACCTCGGTGGCACTTACTGGAATAAAAGCTAAACAATCACATCCTTACATCACCACGAACCTCACGCCATCCTGTATGTACTCATAGACTCATGGAATAGTTAGGGTTAGAAAGGACCTTAAGATCTCACATGGTGATTGCAACAGATAAGACACATCCCTGCTGCTGGGCCAAGGGAACCTCATTAAACAGCAGTCATCATGCAGTCAGGGGGTGATGCACAAAGTGTCAACCGTGTTCTTCTGAGACAGAGGTGGCTGCAGCCCAGGAAATGTGGCAGTGAGTAGTCTCTGTGCAGAGACAACCTTGGACTGGTAGCTGCAGTGAATATTTTATACTGTGCTCTCCCTCCCTTCCCTGTGTGATCTCGGCAGCACTCTCTAGCCAGCATAATTCTTTGTGAGTTACTTTCGTTAGCAAAACCTTTCACCTTATGAAGATGTTCTACTTAATTAGTAAAAGTTCAATTTTTTTGTCACTGACAGAGCCCCATACATCACCATGTCTGGAGAGTCATTAGCTGTAAAATTAATCAGGGTGGATAACGGCTGAATGGAGTCAGAGCCCTTTGTGTTCCTGCCCACATCTCTGTCTCCAACGTGAGAACTTTTACAAGAAGGGGAATCCAAAAAGCATCTCCAAATATCCAGGAGACTAGTTTCTGGAGTCAGGGTATTCCTGAGCCCAAAGTGGAGGTGGCAACAGGGCAAAGGAGGGGACAGGAAGCCGGAAAATTATCAACTTTGTCCTACCTTGGTCAGACCCAAGAATAACTCCAGCTTGGGGTTCTCTGAAAGGATGATGAGATTTTCCTTTCACATCTCTGGAAACACATCAAGGCACTCACTTGTTCACTTCTTCATGGGCAAGTATGGCTGGGCTGTGACAAAAGAGGGATCAGATCCAACAGAAGAGTTTAATGCATAGTGTAGCTTGAGGTCTGTGTGGCACAAGAGGATGTCGTAAGGAAATCCAGGCCTACAGGAGAAAATCAAACAGGTTCATAACCCAGCCTGTTTAGTGGTGCACCAAAGGAGCCATGACATGGTGCTCTGCTTCATAGATCTACCTCAGTATTTCTTGCAGCTCCACTTTCCCTGCCCATGGCAGGGGGTTGAAACTAGGTGGCCTTTAAGATACCTTCCAACCCAAACCAGTCTGTGATTCTATAAGTCTTTATTTATTTTCTAGTAGTAATAGCAGTAAAGGAGACCTTACAGTTTGATTGGTAGCAAAGATAAATGATTCTGGATAATGCAAGTGACTGCAAGCAAGCTGGGAGCACTTATGGTTTTGCATAACTGATCACAAGACCCTATTAAAAGAAAACTCCTCATGGTAAACTTCATTTTGGTACAGAACAAGACCAGACAGTGGGGAGAAGGAAATATTTTGCCTGTGTAAAAGTATGCCTTCCTACTCGGTAACTTTTCTCCTCGGAAAACGTCTGACAAGCAGCCATCCTGGGAATGACTTCCCTGGGCTGCTGCATTACCTCCAGGACTTGCCAGTTCTCTGCTGCCTCTGTTGATGCTCATAACACTGTAGCATTCTGGAGTCTTCTTTGACTAACAAGTGACTCAAGGCCACTAGCTCTGTCTTTACACTCCTGTTGAGAGTAGTTAAGTGAGTTCCTTAACAAATGGGAAGTGATTTCTCTGCCACATCCCTTCTGGGTATGAGTCGTACCCAGCCAGAATCACAAATGCTGAGGCCTTGTCCCTAAGAATGAAGCATGTATATCCTGGCAAACAGTTTTGTCCTTGGTGTCTGACTGATTTATAAAGCCTGTTTTCAGCGTGCTTGTGAAGGGAAGAAGTAGGAGGAATTGGAGCTTCCTGCCTCAAAACTCAAGATGATGCCTTGCAATAGGACATCCCTTAAGTGTAGTGTCTCTCTGCGAAGCTTCAGAGGTTTCCTTGTTGCTTTCCTGTACAAAGCAAGGGGGGGGTAAAACAAATCATTAGGATTCACCCAAACCCACATGGATTATGCATTGTTTCCCCTCCCCCTTTATCATTAGTTTTGAAAATAAAAGGAAAAGGGAATTTCTCTTAGGCTCAATTGGAAAGTTTATTTTTTTGTTAAGCATAAGAATTCTTTTCATCTCTGGGGACCCTTGAGCTCAAGACAGATAAAATTTGAGTAACAGAAAACACCATTTCTTTTTGAAGACACTTTTTGTTTCTAAAATGCCAAAATGGGATATTATCTTTCTTATTTGCTCTTGTTTCCAGATTAGCTCTTTGAGGGAGTCCAAACAAATCTGTGAAAAGCTTCCTGTGCGCTGGAATTACTTTTTCAGCAAACAAGAAATTGACCTCTAACATTATACCAGCTATAGTTAGCAAGATTTCTTTCAGGCTTTGCCTAAGATTTTATTAGCAAGGACTGAAAAGCTCAGCTTCCAAACAATATGGACTTTCAGGCCATACTATGATTTGGCAATGTGTGTTGTATACAGAAGCCTGATGGGTGGGCTGTTGTCATATTATAGTATAAATTGATTTATATATTAACAATATCACATATACAGGAAGAAAGATACCCCAATCCCCCACCAAGATCCCATCTTTAAAGTACTTACCATTTGGACCATTAACACTTCAAATATGGTACAGATAATCACCTCTGATTTAGACAGAAGAAGGAAATGGTATTGATTCAGGATTATGGCCAGGTAAATAGGCCATCAGGCTGTTTGTTTTGTGCTTGATGTTTAGTAAATGAACTAATTTATAGATAGGATTAGTGTGAGCTGTAGAACAGGGGTCAGGAATAGAAAGCAGCGCCCCGAACCAGAGGCTGGATTACAAAGAAATATAGGTACCCTAAGTGAAAGACAAGATGTAAATCAGTCCCAATTCTAGTGCAGTGAGAAAAAGGAGTTCTCTCAAGTGCTTTTCTATCTGAGCTTCTGCTGCTTTGCACTGAATTCTCGTGAGCATAAACACACACCCTCATGCTGCCAGTTTGAGATGGGATAGATGGAGAGAAGGTGCAGGTACAGAGCTGTGATTTGCTTCCCCTCTGTGCCTATAAATTAGCCCCAAACATCCCCAGTGTGCATGTTTCACTCATCTACAACACCAACTCTAGCAGTTTTCTCCCTGGGGTGCCCTGTTGCCATTTGGCATTTGGCGTAGTCACGATGTTTCTCGCCCGCCAACCAAAACCTAGCAATTTGTTTGATATCTACTTGGGGAGCTGAGGAGAATGTTTTGAATGTCTACATCTCAGTGGAAAAAAAAAAAGGGAGCTTGATATATAATTATACACAAAACACAGCTAAATGATTTATGGATTCTCTGCCTTTCTCCCACCCTCTTAACAGTCAGTACCACTCTCCGAAAGGGGAAATTTATAAGTAGACCTTGACAGGCTAGGAGACAGTGGTCTCTGGGGGCTTAAAAATCAGCCTGAGCTTCAGCAGACACATTTCCGCCTCCTTTATGTGACTTTATGTAAAACCTTCCTCTGCTGATCTTGGCTTTTCTTTTCCCATCTCACCTGTTCCCTGCTGAGTAAACATTATAGGACAGGGAGCGTCTCTTCAGTCACAGGTCCACAGTGCTAAGCACAAAGCAGCCTTGATCTCAAGAGGTAGAAAGAAGCTAATATACTGCCAATAAGGAAAGCAAAGGCTCACCATCTCCCTCTTCTTGCGTGAAGCTGAGAGAGGAGTAAGTTGGTGTCCTTAAAAGGCTTGAAAAACAAATCACTTCAGTGTTTGCTAAGAGCTGAGTTTCACATGCTACAAAATAGGCAGGTGAGTATGAGAACCTGCTCAGCTAATGAAGATCCAAGCTAGGAAGCAAAAGAGGAGCTAGTGAAACTTTCCCAGGAAAGCTAGACTAACTCAACCAGTTATTAAACTCTTTAAGCAAAGAAACATCAGCAAAGGATGATTTCTTGAGGAAAAGTTCCCCCTTCCTCCATTTCACAGCCCAGCATCATGCAGATATCATAGAGAAGGGGAATCAGGCTTTTCCAAGTGTTTTCCAGCTTCATTGCAACATCTGCCCCAGGCACAGAGTACCCAGACAATTTGATCCAATTTGTTATCAAAATGCATCAAACTCTTTAGTCTCCCAAGTTCCAGGGTGAAAAATCTTTAAGTGCAATTCTAGAGCAAGAATGGCTCCGAGGCACCCAGGTTAGGACGAATGTGCTTTAAAAGCATCTGTTAACTCCGTATCTTTTTTCAGCCATAAAAATTACTTCACACACTGTCTGCAATCCCCATTTATAGGGCTTCAGTACTTGGGTGGATGGAAAGAAGGAAGCCTGGAGCATGTAGAAGGGAAGCTAGCGCACATTTTGCAGTAATCAGTTAATTTGATGGTCTTTTCAGACTCTTCCCTACAGGGTGATGCCTATGCAAGTCTGGCTGTCTGGTTTTCAAAGCATCACCCATCCCCTGCTTCCTCACAAAGCATAGACAGGGACTCCAATCTGTTATTCCATGATTCTACGGCTCCTGAGAGGATTTGCTTCTCAGGGACCAGGGGAAACCCAGCAGCTCTGCACTTTGGTTGGGCACAAGCAGGCATGGAGGGGAGCTGGGATGTCCTGGTAAGGTGGAGCTGTAACCCTTAAGGGATGAATGTGGCACATTCAGCCTGCAGGGAAATGGGAGGAAGCAAAACAACCCGACTGGCTAGTAGGAGGTCTGTCACAGCTCATTGCAGACTAGATGGCTTTTGAAGGTCCCTTCTAACCCAAACTATTCCATGATTCCATGACCCCCAGCTCTCTCAGAAGGCCTGTTCTTCAGCAAGCAAGCATTTTACCGCCTATCACCCACCAAGGCTCAATGAGGAGTCACAATTTCCTCTTCCAAATATTTTAGTGTCAGCTTCTCCCAGTTCCCCACCCTACAAAAAAACCACCCCAAAAGGCTTAAGGACTCTTTTCATTTTTCTTTACTATTGTCACTATTTTTCCCATTCCCCCTTGTCATGCAAAACCAAAACTAAACAAATAAACCCCATCTTAATTATACACAAGCATATGAACACCACAAAAGAGCTATTAACATAATCAGCAAAAAGTACTAATACCAACAGTCTTTCCTAGGGCCCTTTGTGCTGGGTGATGTTGGAACAGCCACTGTGGAGCAGTGCTGGGGAGTGGAGCTGCTTCTCCAGGCTTTATCTCTCCTTCCATATCCCACTGTCCTCCGCACCCCTTGGCCACCCCATCATGACCCTCCAGGGCATCCCAGGGTGGCCTCAGCTTCCAAGGCCTCATCCTCTTCCTGCTTCTCCATGTGCTGCCTCTGCACCCTTGCCCATTGCAGATGCAGGATGCTCGGGGTGGAACGGGCATCTCCTGCCAGTTGGCGGGTGGAGGGAGAGGGCTGGATGCGGAGGGGGTTGAACTGTTGCCATTGGAGATGGCAACAGATGCTTCCTGATGGAGGCTGCGCTGGCTAATTCAGGGCTTTGTGGTTTGAGACAGAATCCCAATTATTTCCAATTAGGAGATTGTAGTGACAGCTGCTCTGAACAGGGCCTCCTCTCGCAGCTGAGAAACATCCACTTTCAGCTGCATTCAGATACCTGCATTGCTAGCATGAGGCATTCAGCCTTTTGAGGTTTATAACCTCTTTTTCTTCCACCTCTTACTATAAAATTCTTCTTCTCTCCCCCACACCACTTCTCTTGAGGAATCTGGCAAAAGAATCATCCTTATCTCTCCCTTACCAAAATCCATTCCTTTTCTCCTTGCTGTATGCAGGATTTAATTGTCCTGTTGTGCTGTCCAGCTTCCCCTCTTCCCACTTCTCCCATTATTCCTGCCTGCCGTGTAATGTATGGGCCCTGTAAGGCAGTTTTGGCCTGACCCAGCCAGCCAAAATCAGAGGAAAAACTGATTTTGTTTTGCCTGGGGAGAATACATCACAGAAAGTGTCTCATTTAGGGAAATTAAGGATGAAGGAAAAGGGAGAGCTAGGAATTTATTCTGGTTTACTGTTAAAAATATATCTATCTACTGCTGTGTGAAGGGCTGATATTTTCCCTTCACTTTTCTCTTTTTTGTCTCTTGTCAAACCGTATCACACAGTCCAGAGGCACAATTCAGGAGAAAGGGGCATAGGGGCCTTTGCTGGCTTGAAAATGCCGTCTGCGGTTGAGGAGTGAACAGGACAAGTCATTGAACAACAAGACACGTTTTGATCTGTTCTCATAGCTACTCATCAGAGGCAAATCTAATCCTCAAAATGCAAACTAAGACAAATCCTTTGGAAGGAGAAAGGGGAGTTTGCGGGTGCTGGCTTTATTTATGATTCAGCTAAACCCTTGTTTGTTTGGATACTGAGTCTGTTGAATCAAAGCAGGGCTAAGCAAACCCTGAAGTGTGTAGTGATGAGACTTGGAGAGTCTCTCCCGGAGGTTCAGAGCCTCCCTAAGCAAAGGAACAGGGATCTTTCCTGATCTCCCTCTTCTATCCCCTTGCCCAGAATGCAATGGAAAGTTCATGATTTCCTTGAGGGGTATTTCTAGAAGGTGCTCTCTCTTACAGGGGAAGGTACCATTTAGCCAGAACAAATCCACCTCAGGTTTGCAGTGTGAGCAGCAAGCAGCTGTAGGGCAATTTGCAATCAGAATTGCTTTCTCTGCTATAGCAAACCATAGCTGGATGGAGCCCAGGACCTCTCTTAAGGAACTGTTGTTCTCTAAGTGTTCTTGCACCCCAGGGGGTCAGCATGGGGATGCTGGGGATGCTGCCTATGCTAGGAAGATGATACCAAAGGGAAGCCAGGTCCTGCATTAATACAGGTGATGGAAGCAGCCATTCTGGGTTGGACATGAGCCTCTGCTGTACCAAGGAGAGACAACTTCAAAACCAATGGTGGCATCAAATCCACTGACATCAACAAGAATTATGACAGCAGGTTTTGGCCTATAGTGTTTTTCTTGATCCCCATGCAGTCATGGTCTTCATCATGATTTCCATTTCACATAGGATCCAAGAGGGAAGTTTTTAGTCCAGGATATTTTTCATTGTGTTACAAAGCACTGAAACATGGCATTTGGATGACAGTGTTGTCTATTAATCCATGTGGAGCACTTAGATGCTACAGAAGATAAGTGCCTTGTAAATACAGATAAATAGATTAGATTAGACCTTGACAGTGGTTCATACAAAAGGCATTTCTATGTGCAAAAATGATAACATTGCAGAAAAATAGCTATTATTTGAAACCTTGGGATAGAGCTCCCATAATTGATATTGCTGGATGAAGCTAATGGAGAAGAGCTGCTGTGACTGCCCTTTTGTCACTGACTAATTCTTCCAGCAACCAAAACCACATTATCCAACTCCCATTTAGGCCTCAAAATGAGTGGCCACATTTTTCTAAGGAGCACAGCTCAGTGAGCACCAAATCCTTTCAAAACTCCTCTTGTGAGTGCTGTAATGGTGGGGACAAAGGAAGGAGAGCGCTTTCCTCTCTCTCTTTTACATCCTGACTGCTTGGAAACCTGGATCACAGCATGGCTCAGCCAGCAGCCCAGAGAACCAGCTGAGGATGTGGACTTAGACATGACCCTAGTGGAGGTATCCTCCTCAGCAATGGGAGACAGTGGATGAGAAGGATGTGGGATTCCTGCTCTTATTGGCTTAACCATGGCTGATCACGAGTTGAATTTAACTAACTGGTACCTATTCCAGCCCATTCAGGTACAAGTTCCCAGCAGGTGTGGGGTTTCTCCAACAATGTAGATTCATGTCTTTCTAATCTCTGGTCTACTGCAAATGGAGGCAGACCCTGGATCTTCATTTATCCCCACGAAAAGAAAAGATAGAAAAGCAAAGAAATCCTGAAATAAACAGCAGTTTTGTTCCTCAAACGAGTTACAATTAAGTAACGGCATTACTCCCTCAGCACCACTTGTTTCTGTTGCATTAGGTACAAACCCCAAGTGTTTAAAAGCCAGCAGATAAATAATTAAGAACGTCATACATCTTTTATTGCCTTCACAAAACATACAAAGGGTGAAATCCTGACCAGTCTGAGCACAGTGACAAAGTTCTTCTTGACTTTAGATGAGTTTGGATTCTAAGTCGTTTTGTCAAATACAATGAAATGTGTCAGAAAACATCTCAACAACCTTAATTCTGACTTTTCTATGACCACTTCTAGAATTTAAACAGAAAACAAATCCTTTTCAAACGATGTGGAACACCTCCAAAATGAATGTTGATTTGAAGATGATATTATGGACTTTTTTCTTTCACCTAGAAAACTGGGCACATATTACAAATGCAGTATAAGCTGTTAGTAATGGGACTTGGAAATAGTTCAAGTAACTAATTATATTTACCTCTTAGGAATATTCCTTCAAAGAAAATGTTTGTACACCAAATTCAATGAAATAGAAAATATCACCTAAAAGAGGGGAAACGAAAAAGAAAACAATCCACAGGTTAAGCAGGAGGTTGTTTTGCCTAAAGAAAAAGTGCACTTCTTTGTACTCAGCTAAAAAATACAGATTTAACATGTGGGCAGTATAGGGCTTCAGGAGTCCTTAATCATTCATTTCCTTGTTTTTAAGTGTGAGGGTTTTGCAAATGATGTGGTAAGTAAGTACATTGTTGTCACTTAGCAACCTTAACTCGTTTCTGAAGTGAGTTGTTTGTTTCTATAATAAATGAGACACTCAGATACCATGGTGATGAGCACAGGAGACCTTGTGTGGTTAGGCAGAGTGCTCTCTTGATAAATATGATATTGCTCAGAGGTACAAGGCCCTCACAACTGAGGAGTAGCTCTTTGCTCTTGTCCGCAGCATAGAAACATGGTCACTGGCTGTGTTTGTGCTGCCTTACAAGGAGCACATGGAAGTTGCTCTGAGGATAAGACTCACTGCCTTTTCAGGCAGAAAACCTGGAGTTTTGGCTGGAGGTCACCTTAATAATATCCAAGACCTACTTGTCCCAGTATGTCCTTCATGGGTTTGTAGCCAGCTCCCAAATGCTTCATTGCTATCACCAGCCTTCAGTGTGAAACTTTATCTTTGCATCCAGCTTCACACCCCAAAACCACTGTTTTTCCCATCTCCAGGCAGTCCTGCTAGAGCCGCACTGTGCCTTCTCTTGTCCCCTAATTACTCCTTTATTCACTTCTTCTGATGTGACACAGCTATAAAGCCAGCTTAACCAGGTGGCAGAAGATTGCTGGCCTCTGGGAAGCCTGCTGTGATAAAGAACCTTCAGTATGGCTCCTGCAGATGGGAACTGATGCCAAACCTTGAGGGCTGTGTCTGGGGAAAAGAAGTGAAAAGACAAATAGTATTGCTGAGATAGAACTCCCTCAAGTCTAAACTTCTGGTTTGTGGGAGTAGATTAAAGCACAAGGGTTAATAACAATGTAAAAATAGATTCTAGACATCTCTGTTCCTTGTTGAAACTGCATTTACTGTACAGGACTTCAGTAAATCCCTGGACATAGCTGATCCTGCTTGAGCTATACCTGATTCTTCCAAAATCTCTCTTTCCTCTCTCCTTTTTCGCATTTCCTGACTTTACACGCAATATATTTGTATTGCTGTTGCTGCTGCTGGAGTTCAAATTAATCTTTTAAGGAAGGATGAGCCACATGAACTTTCTTTTGGTTTTAGAAATCACATCCATATTCATAATCCACTAATCATGTTTGATAAATCAGAATTCATTGTGAAACATACTAAGCCTTCGTGTTGCTTCAGTTTTTAATCTTGTAGGAGAAGCAATCATCTATGCACCGCATTTGAAGGGGTTGGGCTGGGCTGTCTTGGGTGTCTGGTTGAGTCAGCTTCCTTGTTTGTACAATTCAGCTTGTGCTGCCGAGTCTAAGCTATCATCTAAAAACATAATTAAGTCTTCAGCACTTCAGTAACGAGAGGAATCTTCACAGTGTGAATCAAACACCACCTTCTCAGTGATGCTGGCCTGAGTCTGCAACTTGTCTGGAAGAGCAGCTCTAAGCTTTCCCCTCCTTCCAGCAGTGCAACCACACTGAAACCGCAAGATCTTACCCTAGCAAGTCAGCAATGGTAAGTTATTTACCTGCAGTCAAAGAATGAACAGGGAGATGACTGTTTATAGAGATCAGTAGTGTCTATTATTAGGCAGTGATTTGTTTAACCTGGGTACAGTTTGTGGCTGATCATAGAATCCTAGAATGATTTGGGTTGGAAAGGACCTTAAAACTCATCCAATTCCAGCACTCTGCCACACAGACACCTTCCACTAGACCAGGTTGCTCCTAGCCCCATCCAGTCTGGCCTTGAACACTGCCAGGGATGGGGCATAAGAGTAAAAAGTTGGTCTTTTTACCCCTTCGTCCTTTGCATATGAGTGCACATGTTCAGATGCTTTTTAACTATTTGCAGTATGGGATATTTGGCAGCACCTGAAAGAATGCAAGTTTAGCTATGTCACAATTTGTTTTCCACATAAGGATTCCATGAATCCTGACCTTTCCCTTCACATGAGTCCAGATCCTACAGTCTATTCTGCTTCTCTTGCTGCCTGTTCCGAGGTTACCTCTTCTTCCCCATCACCACGTGGCAACGTGACTGAGACTAGAGACAAGCAGCCTGTGATAGGGGAAGGACAGTGACCAGGTGAAGAACTCTGGACCCCAGAGCACCTCCTGGGGATGGTGCAAAGATGGCCAGCTCCAGTCCATACACTGTTCTGCTTTTCCCACAGCCCCAAGATTCGGGCACCCATGATTTCCAAAAGAAATATAGCTGTTATTTGCTGAAGCAGATTCTGAGCCTGCCACACTTAATAATTCAGTGGTGAACTTTAGAGCTGAGCGCAGGTTGAAAAATAACTTGCTTTAGTAAGTACAAAATCTCCATTTCTGCTGCCTTTGCTTCTCCCTCCTCCTCTCACCCGTGGCCCCGGCAGCCCCCTGCAATCCAAACACTCACCATTATTATGCGGTGGAGCAAAAAGGAAAGACGGGAGGGGGGGAACTTCATTTCCTCTCTGTGGGATGTTTATTATTTCTTCTGCTCTCAGCGGTCCCAAGGTCTCTGTCGTTTTACGTGGTGTTTTATAACGGGAATTGGTTCTCATAGGCACCAGTGAGTTCATCTGCAGAGACACACAGAGCCTGGAGATCTGAATTTATACCTCCCTGATGCTGCTGTAATTGGGACTCCCAGGAGAGGAAACCCTGGCAAGTGACACAAATAAACCCTGCCAGACCCCTTTCGAGACCTGGAGCATCAGTAACCCCAGGAGGATTCCCATGATCAAATTACCCTTAAACAAATGCTTGGGCAGTAAGTAAGGCTGTAGCTGCTGCAGGTCAACGAGGTGTTTGTAGAACATGTTTACCAGGTTTATTTCCCATCGCCTGCTCCCATTCAAAGACTGAGTTGCAACAGTGGCAAAATGGAACTGGAAGAAAGCTGCAAGCCTAATTAAAACTCATGACTCCAAACGGCTAGGAATACATTCATTTAGGCCTTTGGTACCTCTGTAGCTATTCAGGCGTAATTAAACCAGCACTGTTTCCCTGAATATAAATAAATAATAGAAAGCACACACATTGTCTCTCCTGCGAACTGAAATTTGGCAATGTCTGTGACATTTGTTTGGGGACTTGATGACAACATTGTAAAGCTGTCTGCATCTCAGTGGAAAACAGGAGGTTAAGGAAGACTGATAGACAGGCAGACAGATACGGATATACAGATAGATCCAGACATATACAAATTATTTAGTTTGCTGCCTTTCTCCCACCCTTTTGCAGTCAGTACCTTTTTTATGCTGGGAGAACTGCACTGCATTGCTGCAATCAAATCTCGACAGCCAAAGCAACTGATCTTTAAATTCAGCCTGTGCCTCAGGTAAAATTATTTGCTGTTCCTCTCATGATACCAACCTGTGCGGCTCTGGGTCAGCCCCTTAACTGCTTGCTCCTGGTTCTTTTATTTCTTTTTCTTTATCAGATTGCAAGCTTTCTAGGGAAATGACCTGTTGTATAAATGCATGTTATTTCCATGTAGGAGGAAAAATAATTAATACTGATGTAGGTGTCATTTAAACAGCTGGGAGGGAACGCATTTCAGGTGCTGCACTGCTTTAACTGCTGGTTAAAAGGGGGAAAGGCCCCATAAGTGACTCACAAAGTGTGCTGGTGTGAAAATTCTGTACTGACTTTGTACAGAACACAAACACCTCCTTATTATAAAAATTACAAGACAGAAATTACAGGTGTAGTTAAAAAATCATGGGATGAAATGCTCAGACCAGATTATAAAGGAAGTTCAAACTTGAGGACCAAAAGAACTCATAAGAGTTCATATTCTGGATGTCCTACCAGAGGCTGCTGGGTTTGAAATAAGCTTATTTGTTGGCTAGCACAGAGCTTTGTTTTGAGCTCAATGGCTCAAATAGGTGCTGTATGATAGGTGCTGTATGGAAACTTGATGGGACCCAGGAACTTCAGCAAGATTTTCTTAGCACTGTGTCAAGGGGTTCCTTCAACCCTTACTCATTGTTTATCACTTAGTCATTAATTAAATGTTACATTACTGGGTCTATCCCTGTTGACAGCTCACCTCTTGGGGTTTTGCTGCAATACAGACCATGTGCAGGCTCTGGATCTCCCTGGTCGTGTTCTGATCATATTCTTGTTAGTGAGCTTAGCTCTTCCGTGCAGCCAGAGGAACAACTTGTCCCAAGAGGTTGGCAGTCCCAGGAGCAGAGCACAGCCAGCAAATGTCCCGTTCAGGACTCAGCTGCTGAATATGAGCTCCTATGAATACAGGCTAAGAGTATGAACTCCTGTTGTCCACATTCTAGTAAAGAGGAAGCCCAGAGATCTTTTCTTGAATGCTGGCCCTACAACCCAGAGGATGCGAGTGAAATCCAGCCCTGGTGCAGACCATGTGCATCAGCTCAAGGAGATGCCCAAAGGCACATTTTGAGCAAAGCCCCAATAGCTGCACCCACACTACCATGCAATACACAGTCTGCCCAGTAGCTCACCAGGTGCTGCACTTCCCAACAGGCCTAAGTTTACTCCATGCCCCAGTTATTCAATGCATGAGATTGTTCTGTGGGGTGATAAAAACTGCAACCACAGAATAGGCCTTTTGTGTGTTTCACTCATCTCACAATCACCAGAAGATGATTTAATTGCACGAGAAAATGTTCTTTTTAATCTCTTAGAATTAGTCATCTCTTCCTCAGTTATCTCTCTATATTTTTGGTTAGAGAGACTGAAAATCTTAATATATCAGTGACATTTATAGCACATGTTAATATTATAAAACGTCAGCGCTCTATTTGCAGAAATGAATACTGATGTGATGGGAGTGTTTTATTATGTCAATGACTTTTATTATAAATATGATAAAACTGTGTCATCTTCCTTTTTTTTTTTTTCCCCCAAATAAAAAATAAACCCACCTAATCATTTATCTCAAGGTTACTGCTCAGCTACCTGGTTAATTTATTCAATCATGCTGTTAGGAAAAAATACACCCTGCAATGGATTTTCACATTGTGTGGTCATTTGATGGATGTTATCATTTACCTGCATGTTTGTTTAGGATTAGAGCGTGACAATGAATACTGACACAGTGGTTTCCTAGGGACACAAAGCCAGGAGGTGCAACCTAGCTTAAGTGAATAATTAATCATTACCAGGGAGTGAAAGATGGTTTGATATTTTGGATCTCCATTGCTCTCTCCAGCATGGCTATTGAAGCTGCCATGCCTCGATCCTACTAGCTCCGTCTGTAGATGATGCTCCCCTGGCCCTCAGGTTCATTGCCAGACCCGTGGAGATGTAGAGGCTCTGGATGGTATCTTGAATGAACCCATTGTGCTTTAAAACCATCATACTAATTAATCTTTATTCCTACAGCTGGTATTTGCAGTTGTGAGTAAGCTGAACTGATCACAGTAGGTAGCTGCACTTCCAACCCCAATAACAAGGTGGCAGCTTCACAAAAGGAATCGTTGGTTCATTGTAAGGATAATATTTTATGCAAAAATATTGGTAAATAATGAGTGTTAGTATGAATTTCTGCTCTCTGTTGAGATTTCCTTACTCAGTTTTTAAAATTGCAGTGCCAGAAGAATCATCTTTACAAGAAAACAAACGTTAACATATTTAAAAGACAGAATGAGAAATCTTTATTTGATTCATTCAAAGTGCCATGATTCCAAAGACTGGGATTTTTCAGAATACCAAAAAACATCATGAATATGCCTCCAAAGTTGAAGGCAGTCACCACAATGAATCAGCACATTCTTGGTCCTTGAGTTAACACACAGCAGGATGAGGGATATATTCCCCTGGGGAGAAAGCACAGGGAGGACAGAGACTGCAGCATTAAGATCCTGCTGTTGCTACGGATAGTTGTGTGCAAGATTGAGGATTTTAGGGGTTTTATTTTAACTTCTAACTTTTTTCTTCTCCTCCCCTTCCCCTTCTGTCTCTCTGCTACCATCACTGGAAAGGGAAACCCAGGATTCCAGTCCTCATAAGGAAGACATCTGTTTTGTCTATCACCTCGGAGGAGGTCAGGAATGGGCTGTCAAGGATGACTGTCATACAGTAGGTAAGGGTGAAATTTAATAAGTGGGTGTATTTAACGGTAGGAATCTGTCTATAGAGAGACACCCAGACTGTGATTTCAGGAGACCCCTGTAACACTGCTGAGACCCAGCAGAGTCATTGCATGCATGAGAAGAGCTGTGAGAGGGGTCTGCAGGGAGCATAAAGGGGCTGTTGAGAATGAATGAAGAACCAAGGAGCAAGAGAGACAGGAGCCTTTTCAGATGCCACCGAACCAGAGTAGTGCAGGGCAAGGAAACTCCCTCAGCTGCTACGTGAATGAGAGATATCTCCAAGCTGGCTCCACTCGTGTGCGCAGTGATTTGATGCTTTGGGGGAAGAGAAATAACTTTCTGCTGGTCTCCAATTCAGAGATCACCTGAAAGGGAGGACATGAAGTGACCGTCCCTGGGGGCACAGCTGATGGTACGCAGTGGGTTGAACCAGGACCATCCCCTCTCCATGCAGGAGAAGCGTTGTTGAAGTGCTGCCTGGGTTATTAGGCTGTCTCAGCAGCGCGTTTATGATGGTTCCCCAAGGAGTCCACTCTGAAGTAGCACAGACACACAGGCATAGAAGGCTTTCCCCTCCCAGAAGTGAGCTACAACAGCACTTTAGCTGGAGACAGAGCAGCTCTTTAAGAGAAAATGCTGCAGCTTCTCTTTTAAATGCTCCACTGGGCTCTTGAGGTTTGCAGTCCTCCACAAGGCTCTGAATGCTAAAGGATACAGTAATGAGCCCTACTAATTCACAGCACTGCCCAGCTGTACAAGCAGCAAGTGAGTGCAAAGGTTGCAAAGCAGGATGTGGAAATCAGCTCATTTCAGTTTTCTTTACTCTCTTTCTCTGTTCTTAAGCCTTCAAAGGGGAGAGGAGATACATACCTTCAGACATACATAAAATAAGGCTTATTCAGATGATTTCCTAATTAGACCTACAGGAAAGCCTGATCTCCTTCCATTTATACTGCTCTCAAACAAGCTGCTCCTGGTATCATATTATTATGAATGAACCACTCTCACTATAGACCTTCACTGGGGTCTTGTAATTGGAATTTAGCATATTTATAAAGCAAGGTCTATAGACACACCCTTATGTACAGCATCCTGTTACACTCAGGAGTTTAAAGACCCATAGGAGATAAGACTAGAGTAAGATCTCAAGGCACAGGTAGATTTTTAAGTCCCCAGAGACCACTGTCACTTGGGTTCTCCAGATGTGGTTGCAGATGTGCTGCTGTTCTTGGACCCTGCCAAAAAATAATGGCATTAATGCAAAAGGGTGGGAGAAAGGAAGAGAATCTATAAACAATATTTATATATCTATGTCTTATCAGTAAGTCTATCTGTATCTTTCTTCCTACCTATCAGTACATTTCCTTGCAACCCTCCTCTTGACACGTCTCCCATCTGCCCTTCAGCAGCAGTAGAGAGCTCGCCTTCCTCCTTGTTCAGCCAGTCCTGATGCACAATGTTGGGCGAATGCCAGTTGTGTCCTGACCTGGGCTGGGTTTTGTTTGCATTTCTCCAGCAAGGGAGCTTTTATAACCTCCACTTCTAATCTCATGCTTCAGGAGCTGGCTGTTGGGAGGGAGATCGCATGAGGAAAGAAACTCCCTTGTGTATGTGCTGGGATTTCAAAACACAGCATGGATGGAGCACTAGAGAGCAAAGCTGACTGGAGGTCACCCAGGAGATGCCTTTAGTGAGTTCCAGAGAGAAAAGCATGGCGTGATGGTGCATATAATACCAGCAAACCAGTGGACCCTGAAGCAGAAGAGTGTCTTCAAGCTGGTGGTAACTCTGGAATATAGAAAAGACTGAGACTGAATGGCTAAAAGGGTGAAAGGTACAGCAAAGGGCAGCTCATGGAGGGAGGAGCATGGGCTAAAGGTGAAGGGAAGATAACAATATCGAAGAAACCACTGTAATGACAAAAAAGACAATTAGGGGATTCAGTGAAGAATCAGAGGAAATGTCTGAAGGGCCTTAATACAAAGGTGAAACTGCCAAATCCATGATGTTGCTGATAAACATGAATAGCAAAGGGAAGGAATGAGGCATCTCAGGGACTGAGAGAAAGACTGGGACCGAGGATTTTGAAGAAAGAAAAGCTGCACAGAGATGCTAGAGAAAACCAGAAGCATCGCCCTGAGGGAAAGGATAAAGGATAAAGCAGAGAGATTGATTTATGGAGAGAGGAGGGCCTGGAAAAGGAGGACAGCTAAGGGGAAACACTGGCAAGAAGAATTCATTTGAGGGAGAGCTAATGCCATGGACAGGGACTGCCTGCCAGATCTTGGCACTGTTTTCATTTGAGTTTGTCACTTTGCCGTAATTTCACCTCCATCTACCCTTTCTGCACCCACCTTGCTGAGTTTCTTAAGGATGACTCATTAAAAGGAAAAAAAAAAGGCAAAAGAAAAGCAATAGCCACCTATTTCTTATTTACTACGAAAGGGCAAGCTGCGTTTTCTATTTGGGCTAGAAAATGCCTTTCAGATCTCAGCTGGCATTGAATCTGTTTGTTCTTTCTCAGGACTCTTGCTCTCCCTGCTCCTGTTTTTCACAGTTGCTCCTAAGAGGAGGGCAAAGCCAATACCGGCCAGGCTAGAGGTGAACTTTCAAACCCTTAATATTGGAGCAGGTTCAGAAGGAAACAAACAGAGGCTGCTCAGGCATAATGTAGGAAATGCCTGGAGACAGATGGGCATTTGGAGCTGAAACAAGAACAGGAAGACCATGAACTCTGAGGCAGCAGGAGGATTTTCTGCTAGTTCCAAGAAGCCACCAGTGCTGTCTGGGGGATAAAGAGGGGTGCTAACAACATCCCCACGTGTGGGATGGAGCCCAGGTAACAGTGGCCTTTCCCTTCATGGAGATGTGACCTCGGCACTGTGGTGACAGTGAGTGGCAATTAATGATGACAGCTTTATAAGCGTATCTGTAACGCGGAGGCTTAGCTCCTGAACAGCTCCAAATGGGACTTTTAAATGCTATTAAACCAGCTGTGCAGTATTTTTTGTTCCATAAGAACAGCAGTGGCAGGCTCTGTGCCAGTTTTCATTGTGCAGATGGATGTACGTGTGGACTCGCATGTGTATGCATAAAACCTGGAAGGGTTGCAGTGTACTAAAAGCCTTCCCTGCTTTCCCAGGCTACTTTCTGATCTCAGG